TTTTTGATTTATTAGGTTTTGTAAACCAGCGGCTAGCTGTATTGTAAAATGTCTTTATTTTCAACGAGCAATCAATACTTATCTAGTCGATAATCAGTTATTGTTTTTTCGAAATTTTTTACAACATAGTTTTGCTCACTTTTTTATAACTAACAATAATATTATATTATAGACCTTCGACCTGATCATACGCCGCCGACACTCATCAGTTATCACTTATCAAGTATAGGTACGAGGTACGACTCGTCCGTCAGTCCATCAGTTTAACGCCGTGATCACAACCGATAGGCTGCGTTCTCCTCTGTCAAATATTTCCGTTGTTCATTTCGTTTACCGATCGGAACATTAAAAATGGATTATCGTTTACTGCTGGTCGTGAGTATATAAATTTTAGACGTGAATACAAGACGTATACATCATATMCATTACGACATTATGSGATCGTCAGATAAAAAAAAATCTTTCCTAAAATAACAAAAATATCGAGGAAGAAAATCATTATGATTTATGAATGTTATAAAATATACCTATTCGGTATATACTCGTATTTATAATTTTTACTTTTGTTCGTATTTTTTGTTATTTAATACTTATATAATTTAGTGTTAATAAATGATAAATATTTTTGCAATTATCACGATTTTTTTAACACTTCCGAAACAYTGAATTTAAATGTTTAGGAACCATTGGTTAAAAGTATATTATTATGTTTTCAAATTTAAAGTGTAACAAAAGTATTTATTAAGCGAATATTGGTTACTGTAATACACTAATACTGTATACAGTATACCATTATGTCATTATCACATAATAATATTATATTATATAATATTATTTATTATATAAGACTTTAATTCAATAACTGGTATAAATATTATTATACATAGGTATTTGGATATTAATATGGYGGATTTGCGTATAATTATAATTTACGTTTCATTTAATTTTTCAAATTAATTATCGAATTAACTTTGCTTACTCTAAATTTTATTCATGTCACATTGTAATATACATAWTGTACCTACTAAAAAGTACAACCTTCTACCCGCGTTTTAATAATTCAAAGAATTACAAAATGATATTTTCATGTTTCAGTTATAGAACAAGAAAATTGCTGATATCTTATTACTAATATTATTCTAATTGTTATCTATTGTCCAGATGTAAAAAAAAA